AGAACCAAGGGGGTAGGTAAATAAAGATGTATTTTAAAAAATTGGCTCATGTGATTGTGGAAGTTAGCAAGTTCCAAATCTGCAGGATAAGCTCTTAGGCTCCCAAGAAGGCAGGCTGGCAAAATTGATGCTGTAGCCTGAGTCTAAGACAGTCAGCTGGCAGGGTTCCACCTTCTTCAGTCTTTTTTATGAAGGCCTTCAACTACTTGGATGAGGGTAATTTGCTTTACTCAAACTCTAGAGGTTTAAATATTTGTCTCACTAAAAAAAAAAAAATTAAAAAAATACATTCACAGAAACATCTAGAATGTTTGACTAATAAACTAGGTACTACATATGGCCTAGCCAAGATGACACATGAAATGAAACATCCTAGCCCCCAATGAATTCTGCCTCCTTAAATTCATCCGTTTTTGTAGCCCCCTTTACCATGGAATTTGGACTGGTCTTGTGACTTTCTTTGATCAATAGAATGTGGTAAAAGTGATACTGAGTAGACTATGCTCCTAAGTCTTTTTTTTAAACTTAAAAAAATATTTTATTGATTTTTTTACAGAGAGGAATGGAGAGGGAATAGAGTTAGGAACCTCGATAAGCTGCCTTGTGCACACCCTGTACTGGGGATGTGCCCACAACCAAGGTACATGCCCTTGGCCAGAATGGGACCTTTCAGTCCCACAGGCCGACGCTCTATCCACTGAGCAAAACCAGTTTCGGCACTCCTAAGTCTTAAGAAATCTTCCAGCTTAGACTGCTGAAACCCACCCTCCCTGTGAAGAAGGCTGTTGTGTTGGAAAGGCTTCAAGGAGGTGACGGCCTTGGAGGAAAAAACAAACATGAGGTAGAGAGAGAGGTTCAGCCCAGTTGGCCTTCTAGTCACATTAGCTGAGACCCTGGACATGTGAGAAATGCCATCTCAGATCCTTGATTCTCCAGTAGAACTTCCAGATGAATTGGCTAACTGATCATGTGATACAAAGCCATCCCTGCTAAGTCTTATCCGAACTACCTGACATTGAGCAAATAGATGGTGCTGTGTTTTAAGTCACTAAATTTTGGAGGGGTCTGTTAGGGAACAATAGATCATTGGTATTTGCACCAATGATTTCTGTCAAGTATTCTAAATGGAGAGATTTAGGATTCAGAATATTATCTTGCTAAGGTATAAATAATAATGCTAGTTTGTGGAGGACATTGAAAATACCAACTCATCTTGCCTCAGATAAGATATTATGATTTGATGTTACTATTTTCAGAAGTACTAGTGCTTACATGGGACTCGTGTCTCTTGACTAAAGCTCTTGTCTAGTTACTATAAATTCTGGATTTGCTTTTCACCTGGATCAAGCTTTCTAGAAGGAAAGGAAGAAAATAAATTACTTCCTACACTATACTTCTTAACCAAACTATATTGACAATTTCCTCTTGACCTTATACTATGCCCACCAGTTCAGATTTGGGGAATGTTAAAGGGAAGAAATAAAAGAGGAAAAAAATAGGATAAGAAAGATCTAAGCATCAAGTCAGAAGAGATGAAGAGAGGAATTGGGGTTCTCTGGAGCAAGATGCGAAGCAAATTTAAAGCTAAAAGAACTTGAGGGTTCCTTTTTCCATCTTCTGGGGCACTGAGAGCTTAGTTCAAGGTTACATTAATCAGAGTTGAATGGGTACATATTTCAGTTTCATAGCAGCAGACTTCTGCTAGTATTAAGTGAGTTATTTTTCACAGATGCTAATTTTCCTTCCATGAAGCAATCAGCCCTGGAGATCCTATCTGGAACACCTGGCTCCAGGAGTGTAGGAGGTGCCTGAAGAACAAAGGCATGTGATGTGGGGTGAAGTGGAAGGCACAAAAAAGGTCAGCAACCTGGTTAAGAAAAGCTTTTTTGATTCCTTTCTCCCTGCCCTTCATTGGCAGCCAGGTAGAAAAGGAGATGGGAGGGTTGTATAAATATACAAATAGGTGAGTTAAAGGTTTCTGAGTTCTCAATAACGAAGGAATAGCAAATGCTACCAGGAGGTTTTTTAATGGAGAAATCCAGAGGCTCATTTTTAAAGCATAACAGCTGGGGAAGTTGAAGTTGACTTTTGTCTTCAGTATCATGGGAGGTAAGGTAAGCAGGTTTCTGTGTACTTAACTCTCCACTGGGGTCACAGTCCAGATGGTAGAAAAATATTGGCATATCGATAAGGTATTATGGGTTCCATTCCAGACTACTCTATTAAAGGCAGTATAAAGCAAGTTGTAATCCTTTTGCTGGGAAAGGGTCTTGCCATCTGCTTATAAAAAATGCTACATCTATAAAATGCTATACAGTGAAGTGCAATAAAATAAAGGTGTGCCTATAAAAGGGCTTTCAGAACTTCCTAACACTTCTGAGTATAAAGCCATACAAATCTGGTTAAATAAATGAATAAGATAAATAAAAGAATAGTAGTTTCACAGGTGACAAAAATGTGTCTTAGCATTCTTATCTGAATATTTGGCAATCTTTAAAGCTATGACATTTCCTATAAATATTGACAAAGGAATTTCCTATTGCACAAAAAAGCAATTTAATCTCTTGCTATTTGCTGGTTTACTGCAAACTTGATTCACTCTCTTTGGAGAATAACCCAAACAGTGGTTACCAAACTGCAGTGGGCATCACGTTGGAGGACTAATAAAACACAGATTGCTGGGCACACCTCAGAGTTTCAGATTCAGTAGTTTTCCTATTTTACTTAATCTGATATAAGCATTATTTATTTTGATGTTCAAATTATCATCTGGCAATGGAGAGTCACTTCATGCTGGATTCTGTGTCCATTTGATATGTACCCACCATTCCTTGAATATATTTTTGCTTTATGGGATAAGATGTTCTAGATTCATTTTGGATTTTCTGTGCCCTAGTCTGGGAATTAGCTATTGCCTCTGGGAGCCCTCTTCCTTTTAGTGGAAAATTATTTTTAGAAATAAAGATCTGGGCTTCAGGTGTGCTCATTGCTAATGGATTATCATTGCTTCCTGACCTTATAAATGACCAGAGCTAGAGAATATATGTATACTTGTGATATATGTCATAAACATGCACATATACGATTTTTTGTGTATTAACACACTTCTGCATCTATGTTTACTTCTATATTGTTTATATACAGGGTGTACAAAAGTAGGTTTACAGTTGTGAGTATGCAAAAGAGTTAATTCTTATACTAGTGGCCTGGTGCACAAAATTCATGCATGGAGTGGGGGGTGTCTCTTAGCCCAGCCTGCACCCTCTACAATCTCCGACTGCTGGCTCCTAACAGCTCACCTCCCTGCTTGCCTGATTACCCCTAACCACTGTGACTGCTGGCTTGCTTGCCCCCAACTTCCTCCCCTGCTGGCCTGATCACCCCAACTGCCTCCCCCAACTTGCCCTCCCCTCCTGGCCTGATCTCCTCTAACCACCTCTGCCTTGGCCCCACCACCATGGCTTTGTCTGGAAGGTCTCCGGGAAGGTCTCCTAGTCTAATTAGCATATTACCCTTTTAGTAGTATAGATTATTTATTAATTACTGTATTATTTTCCATATGAACAACTGTAAACCTGCCTTTGCCCCACCCTGCATATAAATATATTTATTGAGTGCATATTGAAATGTGTATCTCTCTCTACATATGGGCTAGGATTGGAATTGGATATATACATAAATACAAACTCATGAATATATACATACATACATAAATGTGTATATATATATATATGTGTGTGTGTGTGTGTGTGTGTTTGTATTTGACATACATCCAATTCCAATCCAATACTACAAGTTTGTGTTTTTTTAGGCACAATGGAAATTATTTAGTTCAAGTATTAGAAAGAAGAAGTAATATCACATTCCTTCCTTTGAAATACTCACCTTTTGAATAAGAAGTTTATAACTGACTCATGCATTCCTCTGACAGCCATCTTCCCTTCAGAATTAACTACATACAGCTTTTCTCTCTTCATATTTCTGATTGTTTTCAAATTCTTATGGCATTCAAATCCTCTTCCTTTCCATATGTGTAACTCCCTTCTCCTAGAGCAGTGTTTCCCAAACTTGACATATGTGTACCCCTTCTATAATTTTCGTAATGCTGAGTACCCCTCGTACTCATGAGAACGTAGAATTAGGCGCAGCTAAGCACAGTGCAGTGCATATCCCCACCAAACTTCGGTGCAATGCATACTCCCACTAAACTCTCCCTGTACCCCTGGGGGTACGCGTGTCACACTTTGGGACCTAGAGTAAAGAACTTGGCTCTAATTATTATTATATGTTTACCTGTTTGATTGATCACCAGGAATGTAATCAATCTCCGATCTTCACCCCCATTCCCGTCCAAGTGTTGACACCCTTCTCTCCCTTCTTTTGGTCTGACTCCATATTTTAGATTGAGAGAGAGAGAGAGAGAGAGAGAGAGAGAGAGAGAGAGAGAGAGAGAGACATCAATTGATTGCCTCCCACATTGGCCTGGTCCAGGGTCAGGAATCAAACCTGCAAACCAGGCACATCCCTTTGACAGGGAATTTAATGCATGACCCTTCAGTTTGCTGCAGGAAGATGCTCTAACCACTGAGGAACACCAACCAGGGCTTCTCTAGGTTTCTTTTGTTTTGTTCCCTTCCCCACTTTCTTGCTTGTCAGGACCTTTATTCTTTGACCCTGTTAGTTATTCCCTCCCCTTCTTTATTGCCCTGAGTTCTCTTCCTTTTTCCACACTCCAATCACTTTTTTCATGTTCTCATTCAGTGAAGATGAGGAAATTGCAAGCAGAGAATGCACCTTTCATTCTGTGATTCGAACTGTATTCTCCCTGGTGACCCTAAAAATCTCCTGAAAAATAAGGATATCTGCCTGAAAGGTCGCTAAAAGAAAAAATATATATATTTTTATTTTTTTGGAATAGTTTCTGATTAAACTTCTTGGCTTGAGAAGAACAGTCGCTCGTTACTTTTCACCCAGGAGTGGATTTGTGGCTTGGCTTCCACATGGCTGCCTGCCGTGTGTGTGACCTCAGGGTGCTGGTGGCCATCGTGTGTGGGCTGCTGACTGCCGTCACTTTGGGACTGACCATCTGGATGGCTGTTAAGATACTGACAGGTAATATCATCTTACCATGTTTAACTCAGAGCGAGAGAAGGAGTGGAGCCTCTGTCCCTGCACCTGCCACAGTACTGAAAAGTGCCGTGTCTTCTATAAAATATAGTAGACAAGGGCCAATTCATGGCTGGGATATGGTTGTATGTACATGACTACGTGTGTGTGAGTGGGCAAGGTGATAGGTGATATGGTTGAATTGGCCTCTTTAGGCTCTCTCAACTCCTGATTCAATGGAGAGAAGAAGAATAATTAAAGCCATTAATAACACATGTTTGGATTTGTTTAGCTAAATCTAAGAAAGGAAAACAGTTATGGACACACACACACATACTCAGACATACATAGAATAAAATTCCATTTCAAAAAGGAAGTTTAAGAATGTGTTCTCTAGGATTGTAAATAAAATGGTAACACAGTTTCTCCACAGAGTTCTCCCTTTTCAGGCATAAAAAAAACCTACTAAAAAATTAGTGTCATTTAGAAAACAATTTTCCTGGTTATTCAACAAATATTTTGTTAGTCACTCTATGTGCTAGAGCTGACCCAGGGGAAGGGGGTGGGGAGGTCAGGGGTGTGTAGAACAATGAGGTTAAAGGAAAGCCCCAGGATCTCCCAGCAGAGGCTTTCGGCAATCCCAATCCCGCGCTGTTCCCGCGGGCTGTGCAGGTTCTCTAGGAGGGACTCAACCCTGGGTGTGCTCAGCACTCCCCTTTTGTAAGAAGTATCTAATGAAACGGAGTGAATGAGGGTAAATAGCGCCAGTTAGGAGAGGGCAGAAGGACAGGTGTCCCTCCGAGGGGGCAGCTGTGCAGGACGGAAGGGTGGCTGTAAAGATCCGCTGCAGAGACAGCAGGAGTCAAACACTTTGGCTGTGATGCCATGGTAGCTGAGAATAGATCTGGCTTTTCCCTTTCCCACCAAAGAACAATATTTCCAGGCGACTGTATTTGTGGGATTTAGCAAATTGTCATGAGAAAACGTGTCAGAAAAAAAAAAAATCCCCGGTAAAAATTAAACTTGGGAAAATGTTTTTGTTTGTGTGTTTAAAGCTTATAGAGTAGTTTAGTTGAAGTTTAAAAAATGTGTAAATCCTAGAGTTTGCTCCATGAAGGCTCCTAAATTTGTAAGATCTTACTTAAAGGTGTACTTTTAAGAGGGTTTTCCTCTTTCCCTCTTCCTCCCTCTCCTAAATTTTTTTCTTCCTATCTTTATGTGGCATCTGCTTAAAAAAAAAATGTACATTCATTTTTTAAATTTAAGTTTTTTATTGCTGACACTATTGCAGATGCCCTCCATTTCCACTTCCTTTGCCCACCTCCACCCAGCCCCCGTACCCCCTCCCTCGGTCCTCTCCACACTGTTACCTGTGTCCATGGGCTCTGCATACAAAGACATCTACTTTTAAAGGGAAATGTGTGGTGACTTATAAAGGACACAGGTACAACAGAACCATTCAAACAAGGACCAAAGTACAAAAACATCTTAAGCAAGAGGACAGGGTGGGGAACAGATGTATATGAAAGTCAAAGCTAGGGGGAGGTGCTCAAAATAAATATAGAACAAGTCCCTGAGCTTCCTGACCACTGAGCCCCAGACAAAGCAGAGCAAGAAACAAAGAGCTCACGCAGAAGCATCCCAGCTCCTCAGAAAAGACCAATGTTTCCTTGCTCTAAGCAGAATTTTGAATTAGCTCTTTATATAAGTACAGCCCTCAGCTTTTGGGTAAACCACGTTGAACAGCTTTGGGGTGACCACTATCATTTAAAGAGAAAGATGGAAAGACTGATATTTTGCTTTGTGCATTTTATTCAGATTTTGTTTAATTGGTAAATTTGGGTCCACTCCCTTCCATTCATTCCATTCTACTCTGCTCCATCTCTTTCCACCTCATCTCATTCTCCCATCTTATGTAATTATTGAATGATCCCCTTTTGGTCCTTAACTGGGAATACAAGTGAATTATTTTTTAAATTTATCTTTTTAAGGGGAGAGTCATGAATATTTCATTATCCCATATTACAAAATTGACAATTTGACAAATTCTTACTATATTCTAGATACTATGCTAAAAAATTTCACATACCTTATTTCATTTAATCCTGACAACTACTTTTTGAGGCAGACGTTGTATCCATATTACAGATGGGGAAACTGAGGCTCCTAGAATGTTTTAATGTTTATGCAGTTGGAAAGTATTGGGTCTGGATTTTATTCTAACCATTCTGACTTCATTATCTGTGCTCATTATTCCTACATCATTCTGCCTAACTAGAAACAAGACGATGTTAACCCAGTCAATTGATTCATCCTGGTGATTGCCTTTACTAGAAAGATTTCTCACATTCCCACAATCCCAATATACACTAGCCATCAACTAAACCACAAATGAGCTAATTTTTGTCTAATTATTCTGTACTAGTTTATCTTTTTTTGGTTTAAATATCAAGAAAGTGCTTCAAGACATGGCCTTTAGAATGCCAATGACCTTCTGTGTTATATAGAAAAGGTTTTTATTCTGCTCCTATGTCTTAACAAGACCTCTTGGAAAAGATCATGGTTCAAGGCTCTGGTCCTGATGAAATTGACAGTATTTCATGTGAGTAGACATGATTTTTTTTAGGATTGCTAGAATAGTCTTTGGTATTCTTACAAGCTGCTGAAAATATTATAATAATAACTAGTGGCCCAGTGCACAAAATTTGTGCATGTTAAAAGGGGATTTATTAGAGGAAATATTTTAATTTTGCTATTTGCCCTTTATATTGTATATAATAGAAGTGTCAGAGATGAAAGAAAATCAGTGAAATGTGTATGAAAATCTTTCTCCTGTCAGAGTTTGGGGTGCGCTGCTGGACCAGAGTCAAGTCCCTGCCCACCCATGTGATCTCAAAATCACGCGAGACCCAGACCCAGCCTGCCCCACACTCATTGGGCAAGATCCAGACCTGGCCAGCTCCACCCTTGTCAAGCCCCATCAGGTGGAGGTGGGGGGGGGGGACTGCAGCCTCAGGTCCCCTGGCCTGGCACTGGGTCAGGGGGCTTGGCCTGAGATCCCCCATCAAACCCTGCTGGGCGTGTGGGGGAAGGGTGTAGCCTCAGGTCCCTCTAGATTGCTCATTAAGGCTCCTTACAGGAACTCGGTCTCCACTATGGGTGCAGCCATCTTGTGTTATGGAAACCTCACCTCTGCTGTGGGCGCAACCATCTTTATGATGGTGTAATGATCAATTTGCACATTCTCTCTTTATTAGATAGGATGATCTATTTTCCACCAAGACATCATGACATTTTTGAAATAATCCTATCTAATAAAAGAGAAACATACAAAGTGACCGTATCTATGCTACACCCACAAGCCATGCTCACCAGCCAATCAGGAGTGAGTATGCAAATTAACCCACCAAATATGGTGGCAGCCACAGAGCTAAAGAGAGCAGGAGGCTTGGGTTTCCCCTGGCAATGGAGGAAGCCAAATTTTCTGCCCAACCTGCCCTGCCTGGGCCTCCGCTTAAGGCTACAAAGTTTCAGTTGTAGAAGATAAATAAATCCCAGATACCAGGGCCTCCACTTGGGTCGCCGGGGGGTTTGACTGGCTTTCAAACCACCACAGGCCCCTCTCCCAGGCCACCCTATGCTCCCAGGGAATCCCCGCCCTGATCCAGGACACCCTTCAGGTCAAACCAGCCAGCTCCCGTGTACTAGGTCTCTATCCTATCTAATAGAAGAGTAATATGCAAATTGACCATAACTCCAACAAACAAAATGGCTGCCCCCATATAGTCAAAGATGGCTGCCCCATGTGGATACAAGATGGCCACCACAAGATAGCCAGCAGGGAGGGCACTTGGGAGGGACCAGGACTGCAAGGGAAGGCAATTGGGGTGATCAAGCCTGCAGGGGAGGGCACTTAGGGATGACCATGCTGGCAGAGGAGGGAAGTTGAGGACAACTGGGCCTGCAGGGATGGGAAGTTGGGAGGGACCCAGGCCTGCAAGGAAGGGTGGGTTGGGGGGGGATCTAGTCTTGCAGAGAAGGGCAGATGCGAGGGACCAGGTCTGAAGGGAGGGCAGTTAGGGGCAATCAGGCTGGCAAGGGAGCAGTTAGGCATCAATCAGGCTGGCAGGGGAGTGGTGAGGGGGTGATGAGGCTGGCAGGCAGAAGTGGTTAGGGACAATCAGAAAGGCAGGCAGGTGAGCTGTTGGGAACCAGCAGTCCTGGATTATGAGAGGGATGTCCAACAGCCTGTTTAGGCCCAATTCTACTGATAGGATCTAAACGGCCAGTTGGACATCCCTTGAGGGTCCCAGATTGAAGAGAGTGCAGACTGGGCTGAGGGACATCCACCCCCCCCCCCCATGCACAAAATTCATGCACTGGGCCTCTAGTATATATGTTTGAATATAATAAAAAATATACATATATACAAATAAATAATATAGAAGTAAACACTGATACAATATGTATTAATCCATAAAAATATTGCCAAGTTTAATACTTTCTCTATTTATGCTCTCAGGAACAAGATGTCCTATGCATTTGAAGTTTTGTTTGGTAAAAGTTTTCTCAAAACTATTGGTGACTTTTATAATTTTTAAATGAAACTCAAGGCTTGGAGTTCTTTAATAATTTCAGATTGCCTGAAACTCTTCATTTATGGTTTTACATGTTGTCTTCTTCTTTCAAGTTTAGATTTTAGGTTAAAGGTCACCTCCTCATAGAGACTTTTCATATCCACCTAGTCTAAGATTATCACTCCATTCACTCTTTTTCATATATATTTTTTCATAGCTTTAAAAAAATAAATTTTAATTGTTCAGATTATTACATATGTTCCTCTTTTTTCCTCCTCTCAACCCATTTCCCACCTCATGCCCTTACCCCCTGTCACTGTCCTTGTCCATAGGTGTAAGATTTTTGTCTAATCTCTTCCCACACCCCTCATTCCCTTACCCCCAAGAATTGTCAGCTCACTCCCTTTTTATGCCCAAGATTCTATTTAT